TACAAATCTATCAAATTTGAGTTCTGTAAACTAATAAAGGCGCTTTCATAATCTATCGAGGTTTTGTATTTATTGTTTCATGAGGATCGATTGTACAAATTACTTAGCTTAAGAAATGTCATGGAATGATCTGTAATTGTTGTATTTATTACTTTAATTGTGGCGTTAATTTTATTTTTATCAATTTTTAACATAAAATAATCTAAACAGTTGTTTTCTCTAGTAGGTATAAAATGTCCCGGCAGTATACCATGTGTAGCCAACATATTCAGATAGTTAAGTTTTAGCCTTTCATGTGATTTCTCATTATCCTTATGCATTATATTTATGTTGTTATCTCCCGTCAATATAATGTGTTTATATGTTTTTATTGATTCTAAGTGAAGACTCAGAGAATCAATGAAACTTTCAGCATGTACGTTAGATGGTGATCGGTAAATGCCAAGAATAAGGCCAGTCATTGTAAACAATTTGTAAACAAGATGCCTCTGATAAATAAATTTCCCTTACACTTATAAAATAAATAAATAAAAAAGCCTTTTATTGATTCTCATACAAATTTCAGTTTCATAGGATTAAATATATAGGATTAAATTTATTCATTATTCAATACAAATACATTATTAATTGGTCATTTATAATAATATTTGAATTTTATTAAGAAAAAAAGTTAAATTTGTTTATTCAAGCAAATTTAATTTAATGATATAAATTAATTTGCTTGTATTTCATAATTATTCACTATCCAATTTTGATCATTATCCATTGATATTTTTATTATTAAGAATCCCTAATAAGGGTAAAGGCCTCCTCCATCCCTGACCACTCCTTTCTGTCCTTCGCCCTGGTGTACCACTGAGTTCCTGCCTGCGCCGATATGTCATCGGCCCAATGTTTGTAAGGTCTACCTCGTTTTCGTTTTCCTTTTGGGCCCTCCCACAATGTCACGGCTTTTGTCCAACGGTCGTCCTCCAATCTTGCTATATGCCCCGCCCATTTCCATTTTTGTTTCATGGAGTGTTCAAGAAAGTCTATTTGATCAGTTTTCAATCTGAGAGCAGCGTTTCGAATTTTATATATTCTACGAATGTTTAAAATAGACCTTTCCATAGTTGTCTGGCATGTTTTTATTTTATTTTTCGCTTGTTCTGTAAACACCCAGATCTGTGATCCATAGGTAAGGCAGGGCAGAATAGCACTATCTATAACTTTATTTTTTAAAGATAACGAGAAGTTTCCTTTTAGTATTTCTTTATGGTACCAAAACTTTTGCCATGACATATTTATTCTTCTATTAATTTCATCTATATTATTATTTTTGTGAAAAGATATTTTTTTACCAAGATATATGTATGAATCCACATATTGCAAACTGGATTCTCCTATTTTGATTAATGGTTGTTGGCTATTAGTCATTAGCTTAGTTTTATGTAGGTTCATTTCTAGCCCCACTTTAGCACTCTCTAAACTAAGGGACTGCAACATGTGTTCTAATTGCGAGCTGGATTCCGTAACAAGTACTATGACGTCAGCAAAGCGCAAGTGAGTGAGGCTGTTGTTATTTACCTTAATCCCGAGGCCTGTCCAGTCCAACCTTTTGAAGAGCGCCTCAAGCACTGCGATAAAAAGTTTGGGAGACAATGGATCCCCTTGTTTCGCGCCTCTCTTTATTAATATTTCAGGTCCTTTTAGTTCGAGATTGACTCTACATGTACTGTTGTCATATGTATTTTTAATTATATTGGTGTAGGTTTGATTAATTTCGTTTTCCTTTAATGCATCCCAGATAGCTTTATGAGTGATTGAGTCAAAAGCTTTTTTATAGTCGACAAATGCGAGGTAGAGTGGTTTTTGGAATGTTTTATATTTCTCCATAATTTGTTCTAAAACTTGTATATGATCGACTGTAGAATATCCTTTGCGGAAGCCTGCTTGCTCTATTGATCTCCCTTACACTTACCGAATGCTTACTATTTATATAGACAGTCATACCATCACATTTATTTATGTTATGGGTTGTATTATATGATGCATAGTCACTTATAGCAGGTACCGGCTTGTTCTTATCTAATTGACTCTCACTAAGAATAATAAAATCTGGCTGTATATTAAGTTGAACGAGATTTAATTTTAAGTCGGTCTTAATTTTTGTATACACTCCGAATATTTTGTGATATCATACTGAATTCTGATTTTTGTTTTATGTTCCGTAAGGGAAAATCTTGTATATGACATTCACTGGATTGTGCAATGTCTATATTATCTAATTCATGTATCGTATTAAGTTAACTATCCATAGTTACTGTATTTTTTAATTCAATATAATATACTAGTAATACGTGTTTTGGTTTCAATATATTGTAATTATTTTGTAATTTTAATGGAGTCTTTTATTACGTTGTATATATAGATATTGATGAGGCGGCGTGTAAATAGCCGGGACCTCACACGGCATCTTAATCGTAATGCGGTTATTAATGAATGTTGAAGAAAAAATCGATAGAAGATTGTCCTTAGACTACACCCAATAGAACTCTGATATAAAATCAAGAGTACTTACCGAACTGATGTACGCCACCTGGACACGAACAGCCACTGCCGCTCCGTCCACAATAATTCTGATATTCAGTCTTTGGGTGTACTTATTATGCGGATATTTCATGTATATGAATGCGGCTGGTAAATATTTTACATGCGTTATAGCGAGCGACAAAAAAAAAAGAATTACAGCAGCAATTTTCTTCTTTTTTGCGGCCAACGGCGTTTTATGCGGCCAGCGGTGAGGTTGCGCACGTAATGCAACCTCCTTTAAAGTTCGTGCGTCCGCGGCGGCGACGCAGAACAGCTGTTACGGGTTCGGTGCTTCGTCAATTAAATAGGCTGATCAGCTTGAGTATAATTTATTAATGAAATAAGGGTAATAATAAAAAAAACCCTTGTCGGGCTTCTTGTTACACTTTTGGATCGTACAAAATACAGTTTTAATTTAGTAAATATGTTATATTATTGTATCACCATAATATATGAATTATTAAAATTACATAGTAAAATTTATACCAATAATATTGTATTATATTATAATTTCATCTTGTGTATAGGAGAATTTCTTACGAACTGACATCCATAAAGAGTAAAATTGATTAGTCAAAATTTTAAATTACGAAAGACGAATAGTAAAATGAAATGATGTTGAATTTCAAAAGCAAAAGTTTGCATACTGAAACCTAGGAAAACAAACGGTGGCATGGCACACCGTTACAATACCGGGGGGGCCGGGGTTAAAAAAAAATCTGAAAGATTTTTGTTTTTAGATATTCTTGGATTACTCAAGCTTAAAATATTTTATATAAAATGTGATTAATTAATGCTATCATGATTTAATTTAGAAATGGGGATGGTATATATAGTGGATAAATTACATTAGGCGATTTCCCTTTCATAAAATGTTCTTACTTCATCATTCAAACATCATTCAAACAATCTTTATCTTATTAAGATAAAAATTCCTAGCAATTAGAGGTAACTTGTATTTAAGAAAGATTATCTCTAATAAATCGACCTAGAAAATAGTGTAGGCTTCTTTAAAATAATGTCAGTCACCACCCGCTGACTTTAGGTGAATTGTGTAGTGTTGTTGAGTGTAGATGAGTGTGTTGTGTAAGTGTCTAAATGTAGAGTGTAGAATAATATACAATCGTAGTAATAAATAAAGTAGGTAATGCGTTAGGTATAACAATACATTATGTAGTGTTAGATAGTAAGTAAATAAGTATACATAAGTACACAAAGAAATATTTTGATATTGGCTTATTTATAGTGTTATCAACCGCACTTTAAAATTGATATTTGACATTGGCTTGTTTATAGTGTTGTCGTCCGCACTAAATTGGTATTTTGACATTGGCTTATTTATAGTGTTGTCATCCGCACTAGATGAAAATAATAAATTATGAAGATAATAAAAATAACAATAAGTATGAGTAGCCAAATAATTAAATGAAAACGTTATGAGTATTTACAGGGTAGTAACAATAAATAAATAAGTAATCCAAGAATATTTCTCAAGGTCTCCTATCATTGGTAATAAAATTTCACGCAATTCTTGAGCCGTTTGGGTGGATTCAAAATTCACGTTTCGTAATTTCAGTTCATAAATAATTTCTGGTTTATTCAAGTACGATATATCCATGATTAAAATTGGTTATTATAAAAGAAATGAATGTCAAATCGCAAACGGAAAATAAATTACAATATTCTATTTTTTAAATATTAAAAATAATATTATTCGTCAAAAAGAAATCTCATAAAATTTTTGAAAAAAATAAAAATAGCTTACGTACCTTTATATATACGGAATCTAAATTAAATTATTTACTATTAAAATTTTCCTGTTTTATAACACTATGATGAGTACGTGTTTGTATGTTCCTCGATACAATGGCATCAGAACCGATCACATTTGTGATCAGCCAAAGTAACGCTGAACGTCTATTGTCTGATTATGTGAGTAAATGTGTTTGTGGTGTTGGTCGTAAAGTGTGCACTATTGTCTTCTATTGCAGTAGTCAGCCTATTTTTCAACCACGTTGCGGCGCCAGTGTTACGGGTTCGGTGCTTCGTCAATTAAATAGGCTGATCAGCTTGAGTATAATTTATTAATGAAATAAGGGTAATAATAAAAAAAACCCTTGTCGGGCTTCTTGTTACACTTTTGGATCGTACAAAATACAGTTTTAATTTAGTAAATATGTTATATTATTGTATCACCATAATATATGAATTATTAAAATTACATAGTAAAATTTATACCAATAATATTGTATTATATTATAATTTCATCTTGTGTATAGGAGAATTTCTTACGAACTGACATCCATAAAGAGTAAAATTGATTAGTCAAAATTTTAAATTACGAAAGACGAATAGTAAAATGAATGTTGAATTTCAAAAGCAAAAGTTTGCATACTGAAACCTAGGAAAACAAACGGTGGCATGGCACACCGTTACACAGCAGACCCCCGAAAGTACACCAGATATTCCTTTAGTGGTGCACCCATAGGGAAATCGAAAGATAATTTAGAAAAGAGTAAAGTAGCAATAAAGCGGCTTCAACAGATGTAATGTATTTTCGTTTTATTTGTTTTTAGAACGCTTTTCATGAAATGTATGGTTGTGTGTGGTATATGTTGAGTATTTTTGATTGTGTATTTTTGTTCAATACTATAACAAACAAAACTGTGCATAATTCTGTGTGACAAAAGTTAAAAAATATTAACAAAAGAAACAAATAAGTTTGTTTTAGAACAGTATACAATACAAATAGTCAATCCTTTTGCATTAGGTTATGAATTTGAGTTTCATTTTTAATAATAATTATAGGGGAACCTTCATTTCTCCTTACATAAATTCTTCCATGCCATGTCCAAAAGAACTTGAAATCCTTGGATTTAATAGTCCCGCGCAAGAAAAAATGAACGTGCCGCCTTTGCTGTTAGTAGTTCACTTACAGACTGGGGAATATTCGTCGGTTGTAAAGCCAAACAGTGTTTCGCACACAGTTTTTCTTTGTGTTATATTATATTTATATTTAAGTTTCTAGTCATTTTTATAAACTCCGTTTTTTGTATTTTTGACGTTAATTCTGCTACTACTGGAGTTTTATTATTGTCGCGTTTAATTTTCACCCACTTTTTTTCAATTTTGTAACCAATGCTTTTGGATAAATTTATGGACATTTTTATTAAGTCTTCTTTTGTCTCTTTAGAAATTTTAGGGACATTTTAATATCAATGCATGGTTCTTTGTTATCTCGTTGTAAATCTTCGATCTTATCTTGAAATAAAGTTTTATACCTACTCCTTATCCTCTTTTGTTTGATGCTCCAGCTTTTCGATTTTCTGTTTCAGTTCTTCATTCTGCGAAGTCAGGTTTGCAATGGAACATTCTATGTTGTCGTTTGTATTTTTAATATCCATTAACGTAGAATGAATTTTATTTATTTCTACTCATTGTTGAGCATCTGAGAGATCATTGACTTCATTTCTTGTCGGTAATTAGCAGTCTTGCAACCAATCGTGTTCTCTGATCCTTTTATTACGCTAAGTACCAAAGCTCAGTGGTTTAATGTCCAGTCCAGTCACACTTATCCATTTTAAGTACCAGGAAATAATAAAGTTGCAAGAGGTACAACACAACTTTAAATAGATATCTATTGAGATGTGGATCTGTAGGTGGGTGGAGTACGCTCTCTTTTTCTATCGCCAATAACGAACTATGTCCTTGAATACTAAATCAGCGCATACGCACAATGGCGTATCGTGCATATGCGCTGATTTGTTGAGTAGGAAACAAAAGACTTTACAGGCAAGGAAATTATGAAGCACTTTTATAATAATCGTAATAATTTGTGAATAATAAATTAACAAACTTTAAAAAAAAAGTGGAAAGGTCGGGTGGAGCTTCTCTAGATTGTTAATTAAATTAAAGGTTAACATTTTCTTCGATAACTCATTTTTGAGATAATTTTTTTTAAGCTTTATTTTGTACTTTTTAGGGATATTGATATTTTTTATCTCATAGGTAACATTAAAGTACTTTTCTGAAAACCGAGTCAAATTAAAGTGCTATTCGCCATTTTTTTGTCGGTTAATATACCTAAAACCTTCTCCTATTTCTGACAAATACTATTTTAAAAACCGCATCAAAATCAGTTCAGCCAAACGCGAGATAATCGCACACAAAGATACATACAGATATACAGATCAAACTGAGTACCTCCTTTTTTGAAGACGGTTCATCATTTTTGTCTCGCATTTTCTTCTCATTATTCGCTCGCTCTCTTTTACAAAAACTATTTTTTTTAAAGAATATATATTGATGGCGGACATAAATCAGCTATGAAGTTAAATTTCACACTTACTTCTGCTGTTATTGCCGGACTCCGATTACTGTTAATGATATCTTGTACGATATAAACAGCTTTATTTGCCTGTAATTAAATACTCATTTATTAATTATTGCTTCCAAAAGATATGGATTATCAGATTAACGTTTAGTCTTAACGTTTTAATTTATATCTTAGGTAATAGCTTGTTAGACCTCCTTCACGATTCCAGAATATGCAGTTCTATAACTGTAAATATTCCACATGATAGAAGTATATGTCTGCTATGAACTTAAAAGGAGTGCATAAACCACAGATAAGTCTTTAGTGAGATCTTTCAAGCTATTCAAACTTACCTCTGAAACGGTCATCTCCGAGAAAAACACGGTCATGAAAATTATCCCAGTCGCATAAGCAGTTTGCCAAAACACATAGAACAAAAAGTAAATATATCTTTGTAAATCCTTGAACAGACCAGACGCGGTAGCCTCCATGAAATAAAACAAGTACAACACAGCCGTGTTCAGGCCGAGAGACGTCGTCAGAACCAGGCCAATTCCGTACATCATGGACACTTGGGCAGTTGTTTTATAAAGCATACAGTATATTTTTGCACAGGTTCCAATTTTGCGACATATATATTTCTCTTGGAGAACGCTTCCTTTTTCAATGTTAGGTTTATCACGAATAAACATCGTATATTCCCAAGCCTGCTGACTTTTTATATCGCGCAGAACCTTATTCAACATAGCGTATTTCTCTATCAAAATATATAAATAGTAACAATAATGGCCAGACAGTATTAGAGCCAAGGAATCGCAAAATACAACTTGAAATATTCTTTCATAAGGTATGTCCATGTTTAAATTATTCAAGGTGACACATATACATAATGTGCGGGCAAAGTATACCACCACTTGACTTAACGAACAAGCGAGAGCCAAAATTCCTTTTTTACCATAATCTACTGTCACTCCTAGGCTTCTTATAGCACAGTCTATTTCCATCGTCTGCTTCATAAATGTTATATCCGCATACAAACTGAAAGGTAGCTTCCACATAGTATACAATATAAAAATAATTGTTGCGATTCTCTCATATTCGTCGCCATATTGCCTTAATCGCGTATCAAAAAGTTTACGCAGGATAGTCTGATCTTTAATGTACGCGTAATAAACGCAGTAAAAAAACAAACCAAACCAAAACAAGAAAAATGTTAGACCCATATAGCTCAGCCTGGGTGTTATAACACCCGATTCGAGTTTACATTCTATAACGACAATGCCGAAAAGTTTTTTCACGAATAACGTTTCGCGATATGATACAATTGGATTATCACATTTCGACAATCTCTTGCCACGGAAAAACTTTTTTATCTTTTTCGGTAACATTTCTATGAAATTTTCAATGACGACACGTCCAAATAGAAGGTAGCAATCACACTAAACACCGGGCCACGTCATAATTAAATTGAAAATGTTTAATAACCAAAGTGTTCACATAATATGATAACGATTTGTGTAAATGAAAGAAAATTGTGGTATTCGCAGTTATCCCCATCGGATAATTAGTTTTATTTCTCCTGAACATTCACATTTACAATGATATCCTACATTATGAACATCATAGGCATTATATTGTCATGAATAACAAAAGAACAAATAGCTATGTTATATACAAATTTGATGGTGAAATCATTTCATATATTTATTTATAAGCACTATACATCTTTACATAATTTGAAAATCCAAGCATGGAAATGCTATATTTTAATTTATAAACTATCAATACAGCCGCTGTGATAAAATGGTAAGTAGTGGTGATAATGGTAAGTGTATGGTAATCGGACATAACTTTACATTAATTGATTCAAAATAATAGTAAAAAAAATATCGCAATTAATATAAGGTATAAGAGAGCTTTGCAAAAATTAAGCTGCTTTTTTATATAGGCAACTTCTACACTAACCGATAAGCGATTCGTTTATACAAAACTTAACTAAGTTATGATAAATTGGAAAAAAAAGATCCCCAATTCATATTAATAGATATTATGGCACGAACGATTTATTAATAGATACATTCGGTAACACAGCACAAACATACGCCAACAGTATATTTTAAGTGTCTCAATGCGTGGGACTTTTGCTTTTTAAATCGTATATAGTCTATTAAAAATATGTCGCGCAGGTTTTTTGACAACAGGCAATTTTGACAATATAAAAATGTAGAATTATAAATGCCCACCTTTCACTGACAAGGACAGTATAAGACTACCTAAGCATAGAATATAACAATAGTTCTCTTGTGATGCCGGCCTGCGTCATGCATGCAGTCGTGGTACTCGTCTTGCCACGCACTTACAATATATGCTTTATTTGATATTTTTCTATAATACATAAGTAAACTTTACACTGTTCAGAATGCCAATTTTTTCAATAAGTGTGTAACGCACAAGCAAAATATGGCCAGAGTTGCCTTAACAATAATCACTAGTATCACATTTGCCACGTAAATTTAAGTCGGGTAACTCCAACCAATTTATTACAAACACAAGAAATGTTAATGCGTTTACTCTTTCTTTAAAAAACAGCAAGTCTCACTCAAAATTATCATAACTCAACGTTTATATAAAATAAAAAAATCATTTGCTTATCATGATGGGACTTAAGACATACTATACATATGCTGCCTACGTGTAATTAGTAATTTTTCTAGGTGATTTTCAAATTAGCGATGCACGGTTCAAATTATGCCAGTCGAATACGTATTTCGATTCGGTAACATAAAAAAAACACGAAATACACACATACAAGCAGAGGACTATTTTTTCAGTTGCACAAACGTCCACTAAAACTGATATAACGTTACAGATAAAAGTTTTAAAATTTAGAACTAATTAGAGTTTAAAAGTCGTCATTTATACCATAATGGACGTTTGTGCAACTGGATGTATATTTTATATAATTATAGACACAATATTTGGAATAAGGTATAAAATCAATTATATAGAAAAACATTATGTATACAAAATTATACTGTGGCCGCCGAAAGAATGGTTCCTGACGTCTGTTAAATCCTCATGACTAGTAATGGGCAAAAGTTAACATCGGTATAATTGTTTTACCGACATTTATAATATACTAAGTACTTAACTTATCAGTTTCGAATAAGCACCGAAACAGGTACTTACTTATCTGAACTCTGTTTGTGTAAAAAAGCAGTATGTGTAAGTATTACTTACAAATATTTATTAAAACATCAACTAATTTTTAAAAGTATATCTTTAAAATATTTGGTGATAAATGATTAAGTCTATTCAGATTCCGTTTCGTTTGACGAGGCGTTATCTATTGTTGGAAAATCATTGTTATTAGCAAGAGAAACGTATTATTTATATTTTATATACCTGCTATGGTGCTTCGACACAATTTGTTTTATTATCCATTATTTTTGATACATCGCTACTAAAATAAAAAACTGGCATATACTTGTAGCAGCGTATTGTAGATTTTTTCAAATACTTCATTTTGTACTAAATTTAGTCACCTGTAAATTTAACCCTAAATTTAGTCACCTCTAAATTTAGTACCTAATTATTTTAAAATAATGTCGTTTCAATGTTTATTTCCTTGTTATGTTATTATATTTTCAAATTCAATTCAACCTGTCTAAAATGCAGTCTATCGCCGGTCACGGTACAAGCATTACACAATCACTAAATTGTTTTACAGAGAAATGTATTTGAAATCTAAAATCTTTCATACGCATCAATAAAAAAAAATCGTCAAAATTTAAACATGACATTTAAAATTAGTTTAAAAATCATATTTATATAATTTAATACAAAAAAATCATCGCTTAATCAAAGAATAAACTTAATTACGATGTAATATCAACTATTAAGAAAATACTTCGTATAATTTATTAGTGAATAAGTGATATTCATAAGCGGAAAATCTCGTAATTGTAATTATTTAATATCTACTGTGATAATCTACTTCCATCGGCAAGCAAAGTCAGCTGAACATCGACTAAATTTACGCGTAAAGTATTAATATTAAGAACATTAACAGCCAGTTGCACAAACGTCCATTAAAATTTTCATTTGTTTAATGCGACATTACCCATACAAATTTGACATCCATTAGAGCCTAAAGGCGTAATTAAACCTTAATGGGCGATTGTGCAACTGACCGTAAGTCTGTTGGTCTTTGTGGTTTTAATGAATAGTTTGCGATATCTATATAAATTTATTAATGTATCTGTATTTTCATAACCAGAAAAATGTTAATATAACCAGAAATATATACCTACATTTTATTAATGAAAATATAATACATCTGCGTATCACATAATGCTAATTAGGAAAGGTTATATTTAATTCATGAAACTGCTTGGTGTAGACGATCACTACAAAAAAATATTTCTTATCATTCACTGCTTAGCATTGAATTAATCGTTAAGTATTATATACGATCGATAAAGTTGCCATAAAACATTTACTGCTGGCTTTTATTACTCATCGCATACGGAATAAGAAAATCTTTATTTTAAATAATTTTTAATTGAAGTAGGTATCTAAATTTGATGAACTGGCTTACCATTATTTCCCCACTTGATTCGATTCCAAGCATTTTAATTTAAAGCTGTACTATATTAATATATTCTATAATAGTAACTTTAGTGATAATTATTCAGTTCAAAACCTTTAAATGCTCTAATTTTTCCTCTGAAAGTACCTATGTATTAAAAAGGCCGTCGTTGTGATACAGTTGATACAATAATTGTATTTTGTGACATTTTTATATATTGATGGATATAAACTATTATTTAAAATGAAAAATGATAAAAGGAACCTTAACATGATTTTAAAATACCTATTCAACGACACCCCATTTGACATAGTTCATCGATTTTTATTTTTTTTCATTTGGCAATATGGCGTCTGGTTGTCTCTGTGGTGAATTTTGGTTACTGTCGTGTCTTAAGTGACACTCGTAAAGTTAAGACGAATTGATTGACGTAAGAAGCATCAAAATCAGCCTACGCATTTGGTCTCTAGAACGCCACATAGAAACAAACATACAAATACATAGACTGACACATTACCCTCCATTTTATTCGCGCAGTCGGGTAATAATCTAAATATACGGCACTGCTGTTGCTAAACTTGTTGGGACTGTATATTTTTAAAATCTGCTTCATAAACGTTATATCAGCATACAAACTGAAAGGTAGCTTCCACATAGTATACAATATAAAAATAATTGTTGCGATTCTTTCATATTCGTCGCCATATTGCCTTAATCGCGTATCAAAAAGTTTACGCAGGATAGTCTGCTCTTTAATGTACGCGTAATAAACGCAGTAAAAAAACAAACCAAAACAAGAAAAATGTTAGACCCATATAGCTCAGCCTGGGTGTTATAACACCCGATTCGAGTTTACATTCTATAACGACAATGCCGAAAAGTTTTTTCACGAATAACTGTATATTGTGGACTGTATATTTTTAAAATCAACAAAAATCGGATTTATTGTTATGCGGATAAGTCTTTTCTAAAACGTCAAGATTCAGATTTATATAGTTAAATACGTCATCAAAAATCAGTCGGAAATAAAATATCTAACCTTTATATCTTCTTCGTTATCCGTCTACCAATATCATTGTGTTAGAGAGAGATAGAGAGCTATTATGTTTTAAGACCTTTTTAGTAATTAGTCAGAGATTCACACTGTCAATATTTCGGAATAGAGAAAAAGTAAAAAGGTTGGAAAGTGCTTTGCTGTATTTTTTATTTTTTTTTTTATTAGTTTAAGCGTCATTTGGCCTATGGCTCTTTTAATTTAACAACATTATTATAAAAGTAACCAAACAAAGAACCTTTAAGTACTCTTATTAAAATCGGCGCAAAATATAAACTTTTGTTGGAACGCTAAAAATATTGTTGTTTTATAAATAACTAGTTCTGGTGATATAATTTTCAAGTGTGACGTTCATCCTTTGATTTCAAACTTCTTTTATTAAAAAATAATAAAACCACATGTTGTCTAAAAGAAAAAAAAAAAACATTTCTTTACTAAATTATTATCATGTCGTCTAAAAAAATATGTTTTAATTAAAGTACTTTTCCTATAATAAAAAAATTAATAGTAGTAGTAGTACCAATTAACTTTTCAAGGAATCGTATTTTTAAACGAAGCCTTAAATAAAACATTTGTGATGGAATTTTTAACCAAAGTAGCACTCTAGTTGATAAGCAATAAAGTTCTAAATTACCTAAAATTAAGGTGTGATGATATTGTTCATGAATTACACTTTATTCTTACGGTGATAAACAACTGCATAGAATTAGTAACTACTTAAAATACTTCAAATTTTACTATGGACATTTATATATGGTTCGTAGCGTATTCGATAATACAAATAATTTCATATCAAAGTTTACATTTGAAATTGATTTATCAATAAGTCAAAGCCACTCATGGCATAGTTGTTGATCAGAATAGTTCCTTAAGTACAGTTTTAGGATGAAAGAGTCACATATTTATTTTTAATAATATATTCTGATCTTTACATATCAGTTATAAGCGTAGCATATAATTTGGATAAACTGTGCATCACTAATAATACTTTTTTGTCATATTATTTCTTGAATGTCTTTAGTTGAAGTGAGAGTTAAAAAAATATAAACTTTTTCATCCCAACATATGTCATGTTTGTGCAATGGGAGGGGAAAGATACTAAACTATTATCACCAACTTAAAATCGAATTTTGTGTTGTTCACTCGTTGGAAGCAGATGGAATCCAAACATATTCTATTACGAAACATAATATAATTTATGATTATAAAAAGGAATGAAAAAATAATTATGTATATTTAATTAAACCTTAATAGTATTGATAAAAATAATATCTCCTTAAACGAGTCCACTCTCTTACTCGCACTAAACACAGTAACTAATCATAACAAACACACAATCGTTCAACAAATATCCGCTGAAACACATTGCACTTACACTTTTGTAAAGCTCAAGTCTAATATAATAAAAAATCACATCTCTTTAAATATCTTTGGATACAACCAAATAAAAATTATGATATAGCGTACAAAAATACAAAAAATATACAAGAATGTCGAGTTTGATTCGAGGGAAGGTAGGGAGCGTGGTCGTCGCACCGCGCCGGCGCATCCACTTCCATATAGAATACCGGAAATCAGACTAGAACCGAGAACACGCGAAACGATGCAACGACCGCGTTCACGATATTTGAGGGGAATTCGCCCATTTAGCGAACACTTATGTTGGTTTTTATATCGGCGAAGCGAGGAGTAGATGCGATGTGGGAGAACTGCATAATACACCTTGCGATTCGTATTCAACTAGTTTATAGCCATCGCCAAATAAATGTGCATGCATTATGCAAAGACCCAACTAAAATTCTGATTCCCAATTGTAGAAGCATGTTAAGCCACAAAAATTGTAATATTATGACATCTTTATTATCCAATCATAAACCCAATACCATACGAGAGTTGTCATTCACTCTGTTTGAAAAAAAAACTGAAAGTGTGGTTAGTAGAGAAAGGTTTTTACTCTATTAACGAATATTTTGCTCGCAGAATTTAAAGTGAACTTAACTTCGAGTGTAGGCATATTGTTCTGACATAAAGTGTTTAATGTATTTATCTATTCAAAAGTTTAATGATAGCGGACATATTTAATAAATTTTTATGAAAAACAATAGTGATGTACATTTTATAATTTTCATGACATACAAAATTATTGCTCTTTGTATAAATTTCTATATTCTGCGTGCCTAAAATTGGTGTAATATGTAGCGGTTATGAATTAATATTAAGATCGAATGTATTGTGACCATGTTATTTGCAGTATAAAGTATTTTTGTTTGTTTGTTTAAAGCGATAAAATAATTAACTAACATTTGAAAGAGAAATAGTCAATTCTTAGCACATCTCATCCCGCATTTCGACCTTTTATTCTGAAGACAATTCAAATTTCATCGAAATTTTCCCCCGCATCGATTCCTCTCCTCGCTCCGCCACGTTCGAAACCACCATTTAGTCTAGATGAGTCGAAAGCGCGTTTTTTTTTTTACCTAGAAATCAGTCAGCGTTTCCGTATTGTTGTTGCAGAAGCTGAGATTCGGTCACAGCAAGTTTTGAACGTGTGAGGTGTCGAGGTTTGTGATAAGTGTTTTGAGGAAGGTCATCTCTTTGCGCGCATTCTCTAATATTACGCGGGGATCCTGCGAGGTACAACGTAGACAATTGGGCGCAAACACCATCGCGAGATTAGCGGAGTCCATTTTGGTCTGACTCACCACTTCCGGCGCGGTGAACTGCTGTAGGAAACTTATTAAATAAGTGAGTACCTGTGGAGCAAATTTTATTTCTTTTAACCTTAAGTTATGGATATGTGCGCATTAACTAATTGGTTTCGATTTCGTTGAAATCGGATTCAATATCAAACCGAAGTCAATGCATGTTAATATAATCTAATTTAATCAAGTTACGCGATTGGCTTATAACTCAGTAAGAGCACCAGTTAATAGGTCCCCGGCGTTATGTTATGCTTACACTTTTGCCCTTCGAGCCGTAGCTCTAGCAAACACCTTTTTCAGCCAGTAAAGAAAGGTCATGGCCGGCAGGCCCCGCCTCAGAAAATACTCCATCATAATGTCACTTTTTCATATTGAAAACAAATGGTGAAATAGTTTGGCCCATGACAAACCAATAAAAATGATAGTATGAGGAGTATAATATAATATATTAACTATATCATTCCACCGCCATACTTACAACAACCACAAATGTTGTGCAAGTATGACAAGGAACCGGGATATCTCCCGTGAATCTGAAGCTGAGGTACAAATAATAAAAAAAACCAACATTAGACAACATAACATACATTGCTCAGAAGAAAAAAAGGAGCTGCTTTGGTATTCCATAAACCCCGCACATAATCCCGCCAATTACCAATTGCCTGGCCGCCATTTTGGTGACGTAATTGCGTTCAACAATCAGTACAATAAAAGAATGGCTAACGAGTACACTGAGTTAGAATTTTTTTTCGATTGTTATTCTCAAGTTTTGTTGTTACTTCTTATGGATTAGTAAAATACCAACTGCTATTATAATTTTCACTATAAGTAAATATAATTTCACAAATAATAAATATATCTAATGTCTCTCATTTAATTATTACTTTTGGTTATGTGTTAAAAAATGTCCTTTCCATTTGCTATCGCTTTATTACAGAGTAAATGTTTCTTTTCATATTCTTTTATTTCCCATTTACCTCAACATCTACACATAAATTGATAATTTCCATAAAAAGTATAATCAATAAATTAACAAACTAATTGTTATTCAATTATGAGGAAGTATTATAAAAACGGAAACAACTAAAAAAGCACTCCACTAGATGGCGACTCTAGCAAAAGTTGATTTTCGCAGGAAACGAATTGACCAAATACAGTCATTTCTGTTCCTTTTAACTGACATATTAAAAACTTAAATTTGAAAAGTTCGAAACTTAGATATCAATAGAAATATGAAAAAGTACAAATAAAATAGTAAACTAATTTACTTTTAAACTTGAAAGAAAACCGGAAAGAGTGTCATGAAGAAATCAAGAACGTACTGTAGCGACATCTAGTTTGATTTCGGGAACTTTTTGTTTTTTATTTTTAAATACTTCCTCATTACAAAAATAACTTGGGGATTATTCATAAATGTTTCGATTGTGAATAATGTTTCTCTTGCATTTTGTGCTATCTGTAAATTCTATTTTTATAAGATGTCTCGCGAGTGTTATTTAGACAAGTTCCCAACGCATTAGCAATTTACGGGACTTATATAATAGCGGTCTGATTCATATAACCAACAAAAAATTTACTCACCAGTCGATTGAGGGGCGGCAGTCGTTGTAAAGCGCGCGTACACGCTTGCATGTCACCGCCTGCCGCCACACATGACGCATACAATGAGTCGGGTATCAGCGGCTCGTACAATTCTCTATACCATAGTTTCAATAGACTAGCTGGTGCGTGGGCATCTGTACGAAACAAAACTCACTTTGTAACTTTATTTATTGGTAAATTAGAAATCATAATTAATATTCTTAATGAAAAATTCTTAAATCCACTTTGTCCCTGGTTTTTCATTAAGAATATTTTCCAGTATAACATTGCGAATGCAAAATTCATCAAATATAATTATAAGATAAAATTTTCTAATTTGGCGTAAGTTTAAAATATATTATCACTACATGGTATAAAACAAAGTCGCTTTCTCTGTCCCTATATCCCTATGTATGTTTAAATCTTTAAAACTACCGATTTTGATGTGTTTTTTTTCATAGACAAGGTGATTCAAAAGGAAGGTTTTTATGTATAATACAAGACCACGCAAGCGAAGCCGCTGGCGGAAAGCTAGTTTATTATATTTGATCAATTTTTGCTTTTAAAGTGCTATCCTAAAAAATATTCTTTGTCCCTGGCACTCTGTGATGGGAGTCGAATCCATGACCTTTCACAATCCGGGCGATTGCTCTAACCAGAGCTACCCATCTCAGAGTTTTTAAGCATTTTTCATTTTTTTTTTTTTATAATAGCATTTTTTTCCCTTGCGCACCAATCAATGAGTAGTAAAAGAGCGTTATTTTAACCTATTTCAGTTGGATTTTTAGTACACTATCAAACTAACACAGTGGGCATTATGTTTTTGATTATAATATAGATTCATAATTGCAGCTAATGGCATATCTTTTGCACAATTATATGACCACAACAGGCATTACTTTCATTATTAGTTGAGCCATTGGCCTTAGCTCTAAGAACTAATAACACTAGGAATTAAAACTTAAAGGTCTGTTAAACTATTGAGCTTAACATACCTCTAAGCTTTAATTTGAAACGATTGTTTTTAATATCCCTGTGATATATAATGAATAGAGTCGACATTCTTAATATTCACGCTAGAATCTATTTGTGCATGACACATGAACAATCAAAATACTTTTGCAAAAATATTTAAATAAAATCAAAAACAATCATAAAAATCTAATGAAATAATCAATTTACCTGTCAACGTCGACGCATCGGGTAATTCCCAACTGTCAATTTTAGCTTTGAGCGCGTTAACCTCATCCACATCCGCCGACACCCTGAATATGCCTTCCGTCTCCTTGCCGTTAAGAGCCAATATCTGCTGTGACAACGCTACTTGCACCCAAGGTAATTGTCTATTAGGAAAACGGTCCTTCTGCAACGCCATCACTTCCGCTAACGTATTTCCGAACATAGACTGTCGGAAGATTTGAATCTGTACAGAATAAATAGAGGTGTGTTTGTAAGAAGTGCGCCGGAGTAACCCAATTTGTAAGATAAATGTCTCATTTACTGGTAAAAACTCATTTTTGCGATCACAATTAATATATGTTAAGTTTCCGAAATCAAGTTTACAGTAAATAGGACGTATATTACTTCCTGCCGCACTAACTATATATGCTGTTGTCTGTATAATATTTAAAAAATGGATAATTTTACTGTAACTGCAACAATGGCAAAGAAAAAAATAATTGAAACTCACCCTAGCCTGGTCTATATCTTCAGTGGAGGGTTTCCGCGGTTGCCTTTTACCACTAAAACCGATCCTCTCTAACCGTTTACATGCGACGCCCGCGTAGTGAGATACTTGCACATGGATCGGCCATTTACCAACCTTCGACAAATAAAACTCAAATAAAATTATATACCACTTAAAACAACTCACAGTTCGACGCAATAAAGAGAAAAAAATAGTATAGAGAAGTTCAGAATTAAATTATAATCTAGTCTCTTCGTACAATGAAATCGCATAATTTGGTTGTAAAGTCGCAATAAATTCAGCGAACGTTTAAGAGTGACATTATCGGAGAGGAGCGACGTTTAACATAAAGTTCTAAATTTCATCTAAACTAATGTACCTGATTAATCGACTCCAAAACCAATACCCACTATACATTTCCATGTACAAAGATATTATAATATCTTGTTTTTAAACCAAATGACCCATCCGCATCTACGATTGAGAATTAAAACAGTTTCAACTCACTTCTGGAAAAGCATCAGCAAACGCTGGGTCCCGATGCCTATTAACATAATTGGTGAGGGCCGGTTGGAAGGCAGGAGAGGGTGGCACGAACGCAAGACAAACGGCCAGCAACTCCCAGCCACGTAGCAAAGAGTCCCGGAGGGGATTCTCAGTGGTCTGTCTGCACAACTGCACATACAGTTCGTCGCGTAGTCTGTGCGAAACAGAATAAACAATAAGTAATGCGGATATGTAATAATTTTCAATTACTTACTAAATCAAAACTTTATTTAAAAAAGGTACTCCCAACATTGGTTTACACAAAATTTCATTTAATTTGGACTACCTTAATACATTGCAAGGAATATCATGCTGGGTAGTCACAAGTGTATAATTGCTATTTATCATCCTTACTAAAGTACGAGAATGCACTGCGCCTAAAACTTTTGATGTATAACCTGCTACAGTTAAAGATTAGTATATATCTGACTAAAGATCAGTAGCGTAATATCAGGATTGACAAAAATATATGAAATTCAACCTTGTATTCTCTACAGATGATCTGACTGTACGTCGAGCGTGGTAAGGCAGGTTACAACACTTGTTATTTATATGAAAACACAAAAAATCTTGCTGGACCGACCGTATGCACCCGTATATTGCGTATACGTACTTCGATCAACCTACGCACTATGGAAACAGATGAACGCATTCACTTCTGCACCGACCGTATGACCGATCACTATACCTGTGCCGATATCGTCAGTTGGTCAGGAGAACACTGAACGTTACAAACTGAGCGAATGCGTATTGACATCTAATGGAACACTATATCCTTTGATACGCTTCTTAGATTTTCCGTAAATGCACCAATCCATAGTTCTACCTTGCAGTGTCAGAGTCTAACAACTCTAATGTTCAAATACTCCGTGAAGGGGCAAAGCAAGTGTAGAGAATAGGGAATATGCACATTTTTCGAAAATGATTTGATATGATAAATGATATTTAACATCGATATATAACTGTAAAAAAATATCCGGCACCGAAAAACAAAAAATTTTGTAACATTAATCATTGGTGAAAATAAGTAATAGCTACGAGCAGTTTAAACACCGGAATTTTTGGCGCTCTTGTCGTGACGTCAAAGTACACGACTAGAGATATGACATTTTAAATCAATATGGATTTTGAGTGATTGATTATTATTCAATTACCCAAATCGATTAGCAACTAATCGATTTTTTAAAGTGTAATACGACTTTTTTAATAAATCATATAATTTACCAAATTGGTGAAATAAAAATAAAAGCCTAAAACATCATTTAAATTGTAATCAGTTGTTTAATTTGCGACATAATACATTGATGTTATTGCATCGATGTAAACTTTTTGTAACAACGACATCACTTGTACATTTTATATTATGTATCATGGCATTTACCTAAATATTTTGAAGTTACCGCATTTATTTTGCACTTTGGGGCCATCCATAAAACGTCACACTTTAGGAGGGGTGGGGGGGTCGACGAACTGTGACATTACAATAATATTTAGTAGAATTTGTATAGCCAAACATGTGACATGAGGGAGGGGGGTTAAAAATCATTAATTTACTGACGGCCCCTTTTTAATTATTATTTTCAAGACGAAAACGAACAAATTTTGAAAAACATTTAGATAGACTTTATTCTAAAGCAATAACGATTGTAATAAAATATATTTAACCCTTTTTTTAATCAGACGCATATTCCCTATAGTTGGCGATCGTGAAATTAATGCAAAAATCTCGAGGGGCAAAAAAGTGTAAACGAATGGTGGTGGTCATGAAATTTGTTGCCGCTTATTTGCTGATAGACAAGCTATAGCGCTTTTGTTTTAACTAATGGCAATTTATCACTAAAAGCATATTGATGACATATTTCAAGCTTATAATGGAATATTATTGTTGAATTGGTTAACTTACTTCTCATTAGAAAAAGTGGCGTGCAATATATCCTGTGCGACAGAGTTGAGAGTCATTCCCGGTCTTGCTTTCCTATCGCCCATGTATATTTGAACGAGTCTAAACAGATCTATCGCGGCCTTCTTATGTGCTTTGTCCCAATCCGCTCCTACCATAGGTGCGTTTATTGATGAGGACGTCCATGATAGCATATCACGTACAGAGGCCTATAAATTTAAATTCATTTTAGAAAGTTACAGTTATTTCCAAGATTCGAAATCACTTAAAGTTCTAGACAAAAGGGAAAAGGGATCCTTATTTGATTAATCGTGTGTTAAATAAACATTTTTCATTTTCATGTTACAGTTGCATCAATCGATTTGAAATTCAATCAATCGAGTTGAAATTTAGCACACATAATCGGTGACGCAAAGTTTGTAATGTGAGTAAATCTATCTATTAAAGGAAAAATAATTGTTTTAATGTTATATAAAAAGAAAGAAAAGTGTACTGAATCCAAAATTTTGAACAAAATACAGAAATACTTCATAGATTACAGAAAAACTAAATAGAAATTAATGTTTATTATCTGTATACTCAATGGAACTTCTGCTAAATTTGAATGGTGTAGTTAACTTAAAAAACTTTAATAACTTATGTATTAACATATTAAACTTTAATATATTATTTCTGTTTATTAGTTAGTCTTCTTATGATATAATCAATAAAAAATGAATTCTACGTTACCTTTCTCCTAAATATTCCCTTGTTGAAATTGAGATTGTCCTTGGCGAATATCTCGATGTCTTGTTCCGGCGGTTGTGGGCGGGTGAAGTGCGCGTGCGCGTGCGACCTGACCGGGCTGTAGAGCGCGCCCCCCTCCGCCCCCGCGCCCGCGCTCACCTCCCCCGCCGACGCCCTGCTGCCCGCCCCCGCGCCCGCACCGCTCCCGCTCGCGCCCCCGCTCCCACCCAGGGATGACGTCTGAACAACAGACGACAATGCCAGATTTCCCACCAAAAGTATAGACTGTGAGCCAGACCAGTGTTGGCCTATTGTAAATCGTCAAGACATTCCAATGCTATAAAAATCTTCCTATAGGCCTCGTGTAAACGGTTCATAAGCTAAAATCTTGTCAATTGGAGCTGGAATAGGCCAACGAAACAAGTTTTCTTCACACTATCAATCTAATTTAGTTATAATGAAACTACAAGTTAAATTTTTAGTTTTGAATGAAACTTTATTTGTATTGTTTTATATAATGGAAAGTGATCTCATAATCTTTTTAATTGGCCTTCTTTGTGAGAAATAAAACAAGGAGAAAAAGCCCTTGCAGTTTATTGCAGGTTCTTCAAAGTATAAGGTCTCCCGCCGTAGATTTGCGAAATTAAGGTAGCTTTCGATATTCATATGTGCTTGTAACAGCTTTAACTGAAGAAATGATATTGTACTTAAATTTGAATTATTATCAACGTTATCACTCATAATCATTGTAGACATAGTTTTCCTATAAATCTGTACGATTTACTAGACTGGCATTCACTTCTAATTTCTCTAATTTCTAAACAATATGAAGAAAGAAGTAACATACCCTATGAATTCCAGGAGACGGCTGCCGATCTCTATCGAAACCGACGAACGTATTATAATAAGAAACTCCGTGGTTCATATACTCGACGTCGGCCGGACGATGCGCATACGAATGCGGCAAGTACACGCCGGAACCGTCGTCATCGTCCGGCGTTCGAGCACCGCCGTCCGACGATTCGTTATCCGGCTCGTGGCCGGACAGCGACCGCGACTCGGAACCGGACCGAGATCTCGACGAACCGGACTCGCCATCTGATCCGGAATCGCCGGTGTATCGACCACGACCTGTCCGGTGAGCGTGGATTCGTCAATGACCACGAACTATTGACATTGGCGATAATATTATAGTGAAAATTTTATAAATCAAAGAGCCTATCCCATATCTATATATAATAACATAATATCCAATAAGAGAGTGATTTGAATAAGATTGTCCTTGGCGAAAAAAAAATCCGTTAGACATCTGAATCATGGCTGAATAATAAATACATTGGTCTATTAATTAATATTTCGTTTTAGTCAATATTCACTAGATATAGAACTGTGGCAATTACTTTCAATAAAGTAACAACTATTAAATCAAATAATTAACACTAGGAAATGAGAGACTTAATACTGAATCAAATGCTCTAAATTATTACTCACTCGATAGCTTCGCCTGTTGTATAATGTAATCCTGCAGTGGCAGCAAATGTTGCATGCCTCGTAAGTCCCAGTTACAGTATAGGGGGGAGCCACCCCCATCGTCTTCTTCCTCTTCAGCGTCCATTAATGGGTCGTCATCAACGGGCCTTTTATGTCCTATTACATTATAGATAAAATATAAGAAAACGATTAGAATATCGATGAGTCAAGTGTAGTAAAACAAGGCCAGATTTGCTTTGCGTTAACAAAGATTCACCAGGATCCATATTAATCAAAACTTTTATGTTGTAATTGTAATCTGTTATAAAAAAATATTAAGCAAAAATATTGAAATATGAAAAAATAAAAATATTAAGTACAATCTTTAGAGGATGAACAATAAAATAATGTAAAAAAAGTCATTGTCAATCAGGCCCGGATCTACGATTTTTTTCAACCGAGGCAACAAAACCGGTGGTGTTAGAAGAAGGTAGAATACGAAATTCTACCTTTTTCTAACCCCCCCGCTACATGAGTCCAATGATTTTATATTACTTATTTTATTTCAATTAGTGATTTTGAAGCATGAATGAATGAATGAATGAATGATCTCATCGTAGCCTATAACGTGTATGAAGTGTATATGCCAATGATAAGCATAGCAAGCAAGTGATAAAAATTAATAATACAAAATCAAATCTACTCACTTCTTGATTTAGTTCGGTCTTTAGGCGTGGACGTTCTTTCTAATCGTTGATTATGTTTTTGTACATTTGGTTCAGTTAGCGGCGGCTCCAAATTGACACACTTCATCTTGTAGTTCACTAATAACAATAAGAGTCGTCATAATCATTATCGCCTATACATAACAACACCACATGTCTCCAAGAATTGATACATTTTAAACCTTATTGGAAAGACTTTACGGTGTACATTGTAAGGTTTTTTATTTTAGTTTAGGGCGTTAGTACACCAACGTATACGCTTGCAGTAGTAAAACAAAGAAATTATATGGTGTTTCACATGAGCTCGCACTATGATTAGTTCTATAAATTGCTGCCCCTTTGTCGGTACCATTTCGCAGGTAACTGCTTAAGCATCGTTACACAGAAGCAAACGTTTCGCTGGTAATGTCTTGCGTTACATAAGTTCGTCTATATAAAAAAAAAATCCTTGATACCTACACCAACAAAGCACGAAAGTCACACCATATTATTGGAGAAAAAACTGCAGAGTACAATGCCCGGCACGAAAGTTAACCCGATATGGCGTCCACTGCGCAGGTATAGTCGGAGTAAAAATTAAAAACGTAAGACTATTATTCTTTATTGAATATTATTTGTAATTCAGATAGGAATATTTGTTATAGTAAATAGGTAACAAATTTCTGTATCGTTGATGTTGTTTAATGAAATGTTACACTTAAATGTGAATCAAATTAAAAATAGAGGATAGAACTATTGAGCATTATTTTTCTGTCACAATAGAACAGAGAAAATTACACGAATATGAGAGAAAAAACATTGTGGCTTTTCGCTGTACATTTAGATGTTTTGGTAAATTGAATGTTTTGGTAAATTGAATGTTCTGTACCTAGCTTTACAATACAAATATAGGCTTTTCGCTGTACATTTAGATGTTTTGGTAAATTGAATGTTTTGGTAAATTGAATGTTTTGGTAAATTGAATGTTCTGTACCTAGCTTTACAATTTCCTATAAATCAGATCTCGATAATACATACCGGCAGCAATACTATCTTGCTCGTTAGCGGAGGAGAGCCGCATGAAATTATGGTGAGGTTCGTGTGGTGGTGTACGATGTTTACTACTGCCTGAAGACAACGAATTCTTGCTCGAAGTATACCTCTCCGGCTCCGCTTGCTGCCGCCTTGGTAAAAGAAAAAAAATACATGTTTACCTTGTTTTATAATATACTTTTACCGATAATCACACTTTTATGTTTATCATATTTATAATATTGCTTAAATTGATTATGAAAAAACAAATTAATATTGCATGCACGTTGTCACGTGACCGCAAATAATGCGTGACCTCTCCTCTTCTTACTCATATAAGAACTTGGAGAATTCATATTATGTATATATAGAACGATATTCATTTCAGAGCTCCGTTACAGAAGATGACAGAAGTAGCGTTTGAAAATGAAATTTATTTTTTGATTTTAACTTATTATATGGATGATATTTTTTTTTTATATATTTCATGTAATCTATAACATAGAAATTAAAAAGTTGTCTACATCCCTATTGCACTTAATTGAAAATAAAATAACAGCATTCTTTAATTTCTACAGATTCAGTATTTTATTGTAAATTTGGGTTATGTATTTCTTACGTGATTTATCAAAATTCGAATAAAGGAATGTGGTGGAGGTTTTTATTCTTAATAATTGTTTCGCTTTAAAACTTTGCAGTTATCATATAATTTATTTTTATTAAATTCTGCATCTGAAAAGTAATATTTTACATTCATCAGTCTACAATTTATATACGAAAAATTACAATTACCTAGTGAACTCCCGCGGCGGATGCCAGTTAGAAGCAGCGTTGTGCCTTAAGTCGAGACTTGTTTGCCTAAACGGCTTGTCCACGCTGTACACGGCTTGTTTCTCAGGATACCGATCCATGCGTTCCAGTTCCGCTAACCTATCTTTGTCTAAATGCCTGAAAAACAATACAGTTAAAAACTTATTAACTTATATAATTTTTCCTATAATTAGAGGCATAATTATTACAGGTTCTGCCTATATAAAAATATTAATTTACATAATACGTATAGTTGGATTAAGCGATCCAAATAAGAATATGACTGTCAAACAGCCATCTTGAAGAAAGAAAGAAGGGCAAAATATATATTCAAATTAAATTCAAGCAAAATAATATTATTTTAAATCAACGCATTATTATAGGACGAATTAGGTTTTTTTGAACGTGAAGTCATTAAAAGACAACGAATTCAGGATAGCCAAAAAAACGAAAGAAAACTAGCTAAGCGCAAGTCGGACTCGTGCACGAAGGGTTCCGTACCATTAACCAAAAGAAAATCACGTTTGTTCTTTTTATGGAATTTATGAAATTTCTAGTGAAATGCAATTGTTCAACTATTCTAACTCGTACTCTTGTAAAGTCAATTTAGGTGTGATAGTTTTCGTTTTAACTTCGTTATATATAGGCACTACTACCGTAACATTTGAATTTTTATCAACGACCATTTAGTTGGTAGAGGGGGGCACTCGAATCTTAACGAAAATTATCTCTATTAAAGCTTAATGAGACAGATTACTAAATCGAACTGAAAAACGACCTTCCCACACCTCCTATGTTTTTGTATAAACTTATCCAACGATGCCCCAAACTATGAAAAAGGTGAAAAAAAAAAATTTCAATTTTTAAAATTCTTTACTACTTCGTCAATGAAATTAACGTATACAATGAGCGTTCGTCCGTCCGCGGCTAGGCTGAAAAATTATTGGCACTAATTTGACGGACGGACAAACGGTCATGGCGAAACTAATATGAAAAAACCAAGAAACCAATTTGGTAAATATTTTATTGTTTCTTGATAAAGTTTTGTCTAAACTAATGATAAACCCAGTAATATGTGTATAAAGTGAAACAATTCCAAAAAATACTAAGTGAACTCTAATTTATTTGCTATCAGTACTAAAACAGCTAACAGTCTTATAGTCGGTACCAAACTCGATCCTATTCCTATTTGATTTGGATAGTATTTAAATTAAATCTTCTTGTACCATGTATCCACGAAAAGATTCATAGATGGGGGGGTTACATGTATCTAATCTAGTATTTATCAAGTTACTTATTTGAAAGTATTTACAATAAAGTACCTATCAGAGAACCGTTCCCTTGAGTGTCTGGTGAGTTGATGTGGTCTCTCGAGACTATGCATAACTCTGGAGCCGCCGCCCGCCGCGTCTGTCGCCAGTGATATAGATGATACCAACGACGGCCGCGCTGCACTCGTCTATATGTACAAATATACCATCCATAAATAATAATTAATTAATAATAATTATTATTATTGTATATTAGGATATAATCCCCGCAAACAGCTTATGCGTCTGATCGCCATTTTGATGACGTAATTGCGTTCAACAATCTATCCCGTTAACAAATAAACACTGGTTGACTAGTACACTGATAGTGTTGGGTTGTGTTGAGATCACACACAATTTTTGTTGTTTTCGATTGTTATTGTTAAGTTTTGTTGTAACTTATTATAGTTCATTAAAATATCAACTGCAATTATGATTTGCACAATAAGTTAACCTATTTTCACTAAAAATAAATATATCTAATGTCTCTCATTTCATTATTACCTATGCTTTGTTTTTAAAAATTGCTTTTTCCGTGTATTTTATTACAAAGTACATGTTATATTTTTCGTATATACTCAATATTAACATATAAATTATCCTTTTTAAAAAAATATGAAGTTATCAAACTAGAAGTTATTAAATTATTTTAACATTTTGGCGATTATTCAAAAAAAAGTCAATAAACAATATATCTCTTGCATTTTGTGCTATCTATACTTTATATTTTCAAATGACGTCACGCAGGGGTTATTTAGACAAGGTTTCAGTGCATTAGCAATTTACTAGACTTCTAGTTTCGATAGTGAAAAATAAGTCACGTCATTGCGCAAAAACTAAAATTTATATTGAGATAAACATAAACATTGGGTAGAGCTATCAAAGTTTAACTGCGTAATATACGACCAGTACTAATAAACGTTACGTTTTTATATACTAATAGCTGTTTTCCCGCGACTTCTACTTCGACCCGTGTCAATTCAAGACTATGAAATGGTCATTAGTTTAAAGCGATATTATCCATACAAATTTGACATTTATTTAAGCTTAAAGGCATCATTAAACCTAACTGGACATTTGTGTAACTGACCGTAAGTCACTAACGTATAATGTAGCTTCCCGTAGGTGAAAGAAAGGACCAATAATTCCAGAGCCTATTCGACGAAAACAGAAAACAGTCAATTCTTACCTCTTTATATATAATATTATTATATACTAACAAAAAAAATGAAATGTAATTAGAAATGGATTATTAAACTACCTACCTGTAAAAATGGTGTTGGCTGAGGCTTTTGCAATGGACTGCTCGGGCTCTGCGGCGATGCGGAGTCGCACGATGATCCGCCCGCAGATTGCTGTTTCAACTAAAACAGTTAGACTTACAACAAATCTATAACAAAACCCTAATACAACCTATCCAATGTTACTTTCACATTAATTAATTAATTTATCTTTACTTCCAACTTACGAGATGCGCCGAATAATTGTTTCACCAAATACTGTTGGGTTTACCCTTTACGGAACCGGATATTCGGCCGAATTATTCGGTTTACCATTACATTATTTTGTCACGTAAACATGTTTAAAAATAAATGTCGATTTGAAGTTAATTGCTTTATTTTATAAGCTTTATTGAACATATTCTTCATAGGAATCTTTGACTTAAAATATAAAATAAATACTACATAAAATGTTTTGACTTTCAGTTCTATACCGTGTCGTGAAGCCAAGAATAGAGAATAGAATATATTCGGCATCAATACCGAATACAAACAGTGAAAAAATGCAGATAACCAAACGAATATTCGGCGCATCTCTACAAATTACTAATATTACTTCCAAATATTATACCAACGTCAAAACAAAGATATCTAATGCACATTACAAATATTAATGTGTCAAGTAAGCAAACCACACGCACAAATTTTAGAGCAAAAATATATACTTAATTTGCTTCTAAAGACTTTTTGATAAAGATTACATGAATACTCATTACCTTTCTTCTCGTAAGCGGCGTACTCTCAACGGACTTGAAGTACTTTTCGTGCATAGAGTCGTCAGAGGCATCTTTACGTGGTGATACGAAACTACCGCTGCGGTTCAAACCTACAAAAAATAATTTACATCATTGCACAATGGAAATTACATGTTTTTTTTTTTTAAATTGCTTAGGAAAAAAAAGTTGCTAAAGAAATTGTACCCCTCAAGGCATCCAAAACTGAAAATTGTCTCCAATCGATTATAAGCTTTAACTACTTGACATTTAAGTTCAAAATTAATTTATAACTAGTTAAGTCGACTGCGAATCGTGGCATCGAAAATCGACTGCGTGAATTTAACGTTTTGTAGCAACAAGGCGTCCTGGATAAAGCTGCGTTCAAACCAAACGTAAAATCTGATAACTGTTAACAAGTTCCAATGTGAACGGGTAATCAAACTATATTTTTCATTCACAATTTTATTAATATTATAAATGTGAAAGTTTCTTTGTTTGGATGTTTGTCCGTCAATCACGCCGAAATTACTGAACGGATTTTGTTGAAATTTGATATACAGATAGGGTATTAGCTGATTTAGATAATAGGATAATTTTTTATCCCACTAAACATTTCCACAGGGCGAAGCCGCCAGCGAAAGCTAGTTTACTATAAATTCGCCAAGGCTATAACGAAACAGTCGGCTTGTATACGTTTACAGAATAAGCCGAACCGTTATGATTAAATAGGCTATTACATTCCACTAGGTAGCCAGTAGAGTCTCCGACGCGTAATAACGCAGAAATAAAATTGCCGCCACCTTGTATAAGCGCGTACGCCACGCCTATCTCATATCAAGCCTTTGTCAACAGGTTTCGTGTAGAGCCCCTTCACTCCTCTCTACTTTATCTTATTTTAGGCTGTTTCAATCCAATTTTGTATTTCTAGTGCGTGCTACCTAGACGTCTAAATAGCAGGCACACTAAAATCTTCCAATACCTCTTAATTTACAATGTCACTAATTATATGCTATTGACTATTATTTGTCACTACTTACTCACAATTTATTGACATACACAAGACCCTCACATTCGTTGGTGTGCCCGCCTTGACGTTCACATAATTAGGTATGAAAATGCATGGATTTGGTTTGAATGAGTCATAGGATGGGTGACCAAAAATTATTATCTCGAACTCTTCCGTACTTCGGAAGGCACGTTAAACCGTTGGCCTAGGCTGCATCTTCAGTCGTTAATACCTACCAATCCGCAAGGCCCATGTGGTGGGCCATAGTCCATTCTCCTTATTCAATTAAATTCTATCCATAGGGAAAGCCTGAGCACCAGTTATGGGGAGATTAATAGGCTGGTGACGATGATGATACGTTTGGTTTGAATACAGGTAAATGGCGCGGGATATCGGAATAGCGAGATCTCGATATAATATTGCAAGCCTTAATTTGTACATTACCTCATACATCGTACTTTAGAATCAAACCGAGTATACAATACCTGAATGAGGTGACCATTTTTCCCCTTCATGTGCTTGCACAGCGCTGCTCCTTTTTCTAACTTGCGGTGTACACACTGCCGGATTGCATGGAGCTGCATTTAACTCCTACAATAATAAAGTGTACCGTCAAACTAAAAAACTAATTACTTCAAAAGTATGGAAGGGCGGAAGTCAACAAAGTATAGGGTTAATATTGAATAGAATTTGCGTAACAGTAAACCAAATTCAAACGATGTGCATTGAAACGGCGGGATTGCAGGTATATATTCATACACACAAAATAAAACATAAAAATTTTCTCTTTGGATTTTGTGGGAAACCACATTATCATATACGTAGGCGGGATGATAAATAGTTAGCCCAACCCATATTTTGTATAATCTATATATATAAAAATGAATCGCAAAATGTGTTGGTAAGCGCATAACTCAACAACGCCTCGACCAATTTGGCCAAATCTTTTTTTTAAATGTTCGTTGAAGTTCAAGGATGGTTTTTACGGCGAGAAAAATTAGAATTATTGCTGGAAAAACCCTAAAAATAGCCCTTTTCTTTTTCCCATACAAATGATTTGTAACTAAAACGTAGTCAATTTGAGCTTTATTGCTATGGTATAAAGTTCATATTAAATTACAAGCACTCACTGTTGTCTAAGCAATGTAGGTGTGTTCCTAACGTCAAAGATCATATCTATCAAAACAATGTGCGTGTGTGCGTTGGAGCACAGAATACATAGTTGGAGGAGTTTAATGTCGCGTTCCGAAACTCGCGTTTCTTTTGTATTAGTTTCGGCACGCGAGATAAAATGCATCAGTTTCCACGTCATTACATGTATTGCCGGAACATTGATGAAAATACGCTCTGTAGTAGCAAAGCTGTTGGGTCCTAGATAGCTCATTGGTTAGAGCAGTCCCTGGATCGCGAATGGGTTCGAGTCCCATTCCGGGGTACAGGTAGATGGATTCTTCCAGCATTTTTCCTTGAGAATGTTTATATATTTTTTTAATTCGAATAGTTTACTTTTATAATGCTGTTGTGTGTAATGTGTTTTTATGATCATAAAAATCTCTTTTTTCTATATTTAATACTATTACTATTAATATATTGCAATAATAATTATGATTCACATGATTAACAATAAAGCGATTACTTACTTTTAAATCCTTATATATGTTTTATTTAATTATTTTTTATTCACAACGCCCTATCACCAGGGTGACGGTTCTGTTCAGGAGAATTTTTTTAAATACGTAGGCAAAAAAACTGCCACATTACAAATCTTTTTGACAGGACGAAGTCTGTCGGGTCAGCTAGTAACGATATAAAATCTCTTTAGTATTTTACTCATTGGTTCATTAGCTGCCAGTGTTCCAAATTTCAAATCGATCGTATAGTTTTTCTTTTAAATATTGACATTTCAAAAAGCATTCTTTTGTTTTTTCTGCAAAATGGATAAGATTGAGCTACGAGCTGAGTATAAAGTTTTTGCATTTAAAAGGATTAAAAGGTGGAGAGATTTTTTCTGAGATGAAGGATGTTTTGGGAGAAAATGCTCCTTCATATGCGACCATAAAAAATTGGGTGGCTGAATTTAAAGTCATGGCGTCAGTATTTTGGGATTCGAAGGGACAAAACATAAATGGCAAATATTATGCTGATCTACTGGATAAATTACAAGTGAGTATTCGTGAAAAAAGATCCGGCCTGGCTAAAAAAAATAATCTTTCATCAGGATAATGCGCGCTTTCACACGTGCATCACTACGATGGCGAAATTCAAAGAATTAAATTATGATTTGCTACCACACCCAGCTTATTCTCCTGATCTGGCACCATCTGACTTTCATCTCCTAAGACCTAATGACCTAAGCTCAAAATTTTTTTAGGTGGACAAAGATTTGAAAATAATAGCGAGGTGATGTCTGCCGTGGACAGTTATTTTGAAGGGCTTGAAGAAAACCACTTCAAGGATGGCATCAAGGCTTTAGAGCATAGATGGATGAAATGAATAGTGCTTCAAGGAGATTATGTCGAAAAATAAATATACTTTTAACACACTAATTCATGTTTTTCTATGCTAGGCTAGCTATTTCTCATCCCGCCCTCGTATATTAAAAAATGCTAATGTTTGTCTGTTTTAATTTAATGGTATGATAAGTACATGTTTTCTCCTCTGTTGAGCGCTGCTGATACTACTGTCAGAAGATCTTCCAGAGTCTGTGTGTCGACATAGTGCTGTCGTACCGTCCTCACTGAGCCGGCCACGTCTGCTCTCACCACTATTCTTATCCCTGCAAAAATAATTTACGTTATATAACTAGTAAGTAATCCGCCAGTAAGCAGAATTAAAGTATCGGGCTATCGGGCAATCTACCGATAGCCCTTTGAGCGTGAGTAAGACGGACACTTAATGCTTTGTATTTTACACTTTATTGTTATTGAAACAAGGCTCACTATAAACTTTAATCGTATATTTGGTCATCGTCGGAGTTGGTAAACCTGCTCTGAACAAACGAAGATTCATATTGTGCTATAACAATTAGAATTTACTGTACTTATATACACACTGTACCCAGAGGTTGATGACCAATTGTTATTTATATACCTACAGTTTGTTTAATACTATTCATACTGCCAGCTACTAAAATTAAACCTATTTTTCTAATAAATACTAATATTTGAATATGAAGTTTAAAAAATATTTCTCAGTAAATATATTCTTAGTAACAATACAAAACTAAGAAATAAATGAACTGAATACAAACATACCACTTATATGTATAAACACAAACAGATTATAGATAAAAAAAATTACCTATGATGAAAGTACTTCCGTGTTCTCACAGGGCTAGTTTGCGTAACAAGTGCACCTTTGGCATTGATCGGGGAAAGTTTGCTGGCACTTGCCAATGTACTGTTGCCATTACTGCTTACAGGGTCGACTGCTGATGACACCTACAGTACACATACAGTTTTATTAATAAACAAGGGTTAGCATTGGAGTAAATTTACACTGAGACTGCACCTAGTATTAGTCAAAATTCATATTTTTAAACAGAGACTTAGTAAAGGCTAACCTAGTACAAGGTTATACGGGAGTAATATTTATTCCTAGAAGGTAGTAGGTTTGCTTATAATCTGTATAATATGAGTTTGGACTAATACTAAAATTGTAATTTTAGCCTAAAATTACTCTGACGCTAAACCTTGTTAATACTACTACTACATACAATACTACTTTTATAATATACAGCTTACAATGTATAATCCCGAATATGGCAGATAAGTTATCATAAATAGCATCCAGGAAAATGATCACTAAATCTAAAACCTATATAACCTAAATATTATATGAAGGAATAATAAAAATATTTATAATGACTCAAAAGTTTGTTTATATATATGTAGAATGATGAGAGGAAAGGAATTTATGTAATCATATTTTCGCAAATTAAAGATTATTATGACAAAGAAGGTGAGCGAGGTTGAAGAATAGACAACAAAAAGACTACATAAATATATTTCCCTACACAAATAATTATCTATGTAATATACCTGTGTAGCTGTCTGGTTAGTCTGTGTTGATGTTTCTCTTCTTTTTTGAGGATCAGTATTTTGTTTCAATGTCTGTAATTTGGCTAATGGTATTATGTCACAGTCTGTAGGTCTATGCCAAACAGTAGTCTGAAAAGAAGATAATGAAATGCATATAAGCACAAGTTATATGACAACTTACGTGAATATGACTATGATGTGGAATAATAATATATTTACCTGAGTTGATGCATTGTAATAATAAAACCTATGAGTGTTTATATCAAACAATTCCCACCATTGTGACGAGTCTGTTCGTTTTACTTTGACACCCTAAAACAATTAAAAACTTTTAATATATCCCATAGATTAAAATATATTGAAGAACTGAATATATTCATAGAACTAAAAATATAAAAAAGAAATGTAGTTAATATATTTAACTGTTCTAATCATAGTAGTTCTTAAACTAGCAATTGATGGTCTTAATTAATGAACACCAAAATAACAGATGACTTTGTTCTTTGAATAGGTTAATCTTATTCTTTATTCCTGTGGAATTGTGATCAAAAAGAAATTGTCTCATATTTTTGTATGAAGTATTACATATATTTTCTCACATTGCAATATTATACTTTAAAAAAATTTAGTGTCATAATATGTCAGGCTTCTAATTGATCTTAGTGACAGGTTTTTAAGTGGGTTGAATGTGATTATATTACATATCCATTACATAACCATTCCATACTATCATATAAAAAAAAATAAAACCAAAACAAATGTTGACAGAAATGTAAGTGACTGACTCTATTTGCTATCATTTGCATATAAATTTAACAGCTGAAATATTTCACTCAATGTCTTATTTATACAAAATCTAATAACAATACCACACATTAATGAAATAGATTTTGATTTGGGCTGTGAATTTATTATTTAGTAACTATAATACAACACTGAAACACTACAACTACATAATTATGCCCTCCTTAACCATCCATAAGGAAGACGTGGGCCTCTAAAAAGGCTGATGATGATGAATAATGGCCAGCCAAACTACTTAGTAGTTTCATATTATAAATTCATTTATACATTGAGAAAACATATGGGTCATTTTAATAGTTAATATCGATGCTAGAAAGCAAACACATAGTAACCTGCAAAACCAAAATTGTTCTTCAGAACAGAAAAACTTTATTTTTTTTTTTATAATTCCTATAAACGTCCATGGTAACAAATAAGGTGTTCCTTTAACGATTTATACAGAAATAAGATATTCTTTTTTGGTAAAATATAAAGATTTTCCACTCTAATTATCCATTTTGGTTTTGCAGGTTATTACGTGTTGGCTTTCCAGCATCGACATATATTACAGGTGAAATTTTTGTAGCAAAGATTTTTGAAACAAAGATTTAGTTAATGCTGACACAGAACAATGATTTCAGTGTTCCTTTTCCATCACTCCTCTATCTCTATGATGTTAGCTTAGGGTTCAAACTTATATGAAAATCCTTCAATAAAGCATTATATGATTCCAAGGAGTAGTCTAAATTAATAGTTTTTGTACTTGCATATCTGAACAAAATCATTTCAGCAAACAATCGGTCATTCTAATTTTTAACTGTACAGAAGAATCTCATTAATCTGGTAAGTACCTGTCTATTGAAGTCAATAGACAGTCATATCTAATGAACCCATACCTAATAACCAATACATAATGTAGGAAATTAAAACAAACAAATTGATTTACCTTTAAAAAATGCTTCATTGTCTTTAAATTGATGATAATTATACACAATCCAGTTAACCAAACATTCCAATAATCTAGCATAGTTTGCTCTTTAATGGATTTGTGTGATTCTACTGTATTTTTTTAATAAGATTACTCTTGATATTAATCTTGCCTAATGGCATGAATGAATTCTACAGTGGAACAAGCTTATATATGAAAATCCTTTATCATACTCCTCTCTATTCAATACAAATTTTAATATTTTGTGACTTGTAGTATCAGTATCAGTAGTATCACCAATTTTTGTAATTGAACTAATTATTAAAATTTGTATTGTATAAAATAGAGAATGAAGTGCTAAGCTATAATTAAACGTTTACAAACACCAGTAATACTACAACTGAGTATAAAAGTATAAAGATTGAGAGAATAAATATTTCAGACATTTCTTATTTAGTAAAGAAAAATTAATGGTCCAGAAATAAACAAAATAATGATCCTGAGTATTAAAATTTATACATTTAATACATATGTAAATGATTAGATGGATTTTGATAAATTTTAGCATAGGTAGTTCAAAGTTACTCTCTCCCTAACATTAAAGGTTCGTTGGTATTAAAATATCAGTGATTTTACCTCAGATCAGTTTTATGATCTGAACTAAATATACATTATTTATAAGGTAACATGCCCAACGATATCTTCAAATTAAATGATTCATAAAACTTACCTCAGGTGGATCCCAAACGCATTCTCCTGTGGTAAGGTTAGCATACATATGCTCCTTTGTTTTGGGCTCGATTATTTCCACCCATTCTACCCTAGAATAAAACATCTTCCGTTTAAAACTTAAACATTGATTACAAGAAAAATTCGAGCACAAATTAGTGCGAATTCAGGGCGTGACATTAGCGATTTCCGTACACTTATTGATTTTGCAACTTTCATCCACGGACACCTGAAGTACTTTGTCAAAAATATTAGATGTACATAAACGTTGAGTTACCTTTCCGAAGACATTTTCACAAAATAGTAATAACTATAGAAGCTTATTCACACATATTAATCTATTTATTTGACCTAAATTAAAGATGAAATTAATCGAATAGCATCCATGTTGAATGTTTACTTCATGACATGACGGACGGGACGGGATAAGCGAGAGGGGGGAGGGACCGACAGGGGAAAGGGCTATAAAGATTGAGGGATGACTATATAAAACCGACTACCGTTAGCAAAATACTTACTAACCGGTTATAAGTTCACAAATTGTTATTATTATCTAATAAAGATTATGATATGATATAAGTTTTTACAGTCTTTGTGTGAATTTTCATATCAGATAATCATCTCCTTTTTTGACACTAAACATAAAACAATGGCACCAAATAAAAAAAAAACTGAATATTCGGATTCGCATTCGTGAATGTCAGTAGTGATATTATAGTAATCGGTAAAACCGAATACAAAACCGATAACACCGCCTTATAGTTTTCGCATATGTTTTTTACATGGTCTTTGTAGAACTCAAAATTTTGTCTATTGTTCTGAGCGTGTCTCTGTGCTCTGTATGTTCTTTTTCTGGCACACATATGTACCATGTACACACAAAGAGTAGTTGCGTACACACGTCACACCAACGTCACACATTGAATTGATACTTTCAAATTCCTATCCCGGTTGGATTGCTCAATACATATAATTTTTATTTCTGTTCATAAAATAAATTGACAGTAAGTACTTCTAGTAATTTGTATAGAAATAAATAAAAACTCTATTTAACGTTATCAATGCTGCGCACACTGACTATTAACCTTAGTAAAAGCCGGCGCGCATGTATTGCTGAATCATTTTTTATCAAACAAATCCACACAAAGAGGAGTCTTCGGTCTAAACAGACACAGACAAATAAAATAGTTAATGGTCAGTAAATATAAATAAAGTAGATTTTTGCTTGATTTTCAGCTCATTCATTTAAATTTTCTAACCTTAGTAGACTAATTATAAAGTATTATTTTAGCCATGGCTGTTGATAAATCTAATTTTCTGCTGCCAAACAACCAGAGATTTGTGGAGTTAGATAGTTCACAAGCTTTTGGCAATTTAACTAATCAAGAGAAGCTATATGCTCACTATTTAAGTCAGGTAAGTCTAATATAATAAGATACTTGTTTTACTTACAACAAAGACTTCTATACTGTTACCAAATAATAATTGTGTTGTGGTAAAAAAAAAACTCATTGTGTTGAAACTTTCCACTACTTCATATTGCCATCTTTAATTAATTTATAAAATAATTTTTTAAAAATAGTTTTATGGTCATTTCCATTCATTTTACACCCTAAAAATTTTTTACAGATTATATATTTCTTGTGAATAAGCATAACTGTTTTAGTTGACAACATAATTATTTATTCTTCAGTTCTTCGTCTTTTCAATATCAATCTTTTGCGCCAGTTCCACCGAAAGTTCTTCAGCATATGGCCTTTTTTGTAAGGCCTTATGTGCATTTAAGATTCTTCTTGAAATTAATACTTTTGTTTTTTTTTAATTTTCATTAACTAGTTTATCTAATTAGATATTAAACAGTCATACATTGTTGATACATCAAAAAATTACAATAAACTTTTTTTCAGGGAAAATATCATTAATATTTAAGATGTCTATACCTCATAAAATATGACAGAAAATGGGGTTCAAAATATGGCAGAAATTGTCTTGTGTATAACAGTGATAAATAATAATAAATTTTGGTATTATTTTGATAACAATACCACATATCTACATTGATTGTAATGTAAAAAAAATGAAAAAGTCCGAACATGTAATTTATATTGTATCAAATGCCTATACACATATCAAACTAGGTTTTCACCAGTGGCTCTGCCTGTGTGGTCTCCAGGATACTGTTCAGTCGGATGAAAAGTAGGCCATCCATCCTAACCAGGCTGAGAATTATCCATATTATATAATGAGAATCGTCCATATAAGATAATCTGGTTTTTGTTTTTATTATAAAACTCAGTTTTTTTTTCATACCCTGTGCACATCTGACATGTAGAGATGATATATTAACTTTTGCACCTTAAATGTTATGAAAGCCAATAGTTGAAATGTTGAAATAAATGAATCATTAATGTCTTTAATTTGTTTCTTAAATTTATATATTTATTGTTGTAAGGGGCTATGCAGTTTTCTGAGGAACTGTAATATATAATGTGTACAGCAACCTTCAAGATCTATTGTGAATCACTGCCAAAGCTATAGTAACTCCTTTAGCCGGGTAGACTTCAAAAAGTCTATAATATTCCTGGTCTTTAGAGATTTTATATCTTTTGGGCAGATGTATGCTTTGTTTGTGGGTCAGTGGTCCACATTCACACTGGAAAGGTTTCGGTGTTTCCTGTTTGCAATATCTGCATCCTGTTTGCAATGTCAATGTCAATATCTGCAAATATCAGTGTAAATTTATATAACTGTAATAATATATTTTAGGCTGCCTGGAATGGAGGACTGATTGTACTCATGCAAACAAGTCCAGAATCCCCAAGGATATTCTCTTTGTTGCATAGAATATTTGTAAGTGAATCTTTGGAAAATCTCAAACAGTCAGCTTTGAAAGCTGGTGTAACTGAGGATGACTTTCAGGTATGTTTTATTTTAAGCTAGTAAACTGGGTATCCAGCTAAGTAGTTTAAGCCCTTTTCAGAAATCTGAATCATTGAAGGTACAGTAACACCCAGACCAAAACAATGTAGAAAAGTTCAATTTCTATATTTTTCTAACCGGTAATCGAAACCTGGGACATTAAAGATGGCGACACCTTGATATGAGCATGTAAACTAAGTGCTAGGAGATTGCCAAAATCATGGCTTAAAAGGTGTTTTTCTTATGCCAAATAAATGTACCTCCAAAAATTCTTTATTAAACAGAGGAATCCCTATAAAGCTATAAATTTTCAAATTTTGTATCGCTAATAAAATTGTTCCTTAATCGTTGTGGCATGTTTTTATAAAAAAGTACATTCATATGAAAGATATTCCTGATCCCCATACATAATATATTTATATATATTTGAAACAATTTGTCAATAGATCTTATATAAAATAGTAAATGACTTTCATATAAACCCACCATTTCTTTGAGGTTGATAGGAAAACCACATCCTCTCTATAAATGTTGTTCTATTAATATTATTTGCTTTGATGTGACTTTAATAGATAAAATTTTCCATAAAATTATTTCACAAGTATAGGCAACACACATCAGGGTAATTTTTTTTATCTTATTTTAAAGGCATTTCTGGTGTATGCTGGTGGTGTATTTGCAAATAGCGGTAACTACAAAGGATTTGGTGATACCAAGGTCATACCGAATCTGTCAAAGGAATCTTTTGAACTGATTGTGAAAGCATCGAAAGCATATGAAAATGACAATACTCATATAACAAAGCTGTGGCAGAATAATTGTAATGCTATTTATAGTATAGCACCAAGATTGACAAGTTTGGGACTGGCCGATAAGGTATTGCTTGTATCTCTTACATGTGTTATTTTAATTTGTTAATTCATATCAGATCATTAGTAATAGGGGTTAAAGTATGAAATTGCCGATTTGTACTGAAAATCAAAATTGTTTAATTTTTAACAAATTTATTTATTTAAAATAGTTACCATTATTAAATACTAGCTTTCGCCAGCGGCTTCGCCCGCGTGGACCCTAGGGAAATGTTTAGTGGAATAAAAAGTATCCTATTATCTAAGTCAGCTAACACCCTGTCTGTATACCAAATGTCATCAAAATCCGTTCAGTAGTTTCGGCGTGATTGACGTACAAACATCCAAATATCTAAACATCCAAACAAAGAAACTTTCACATTTATAATATTAACTAGCTTTCGCTTGGTTGCCCCGGGCTGCGAGCAGCCCGGGGAGGTCACGAGTAGCTGGTGGAATCGGGGCGGTGGGGTTTTAAGTCCGCCTATTGTTATGTCGGGTTTACAGTTTGAAATTGCGTAAAAAAGGTCAGTAAGTTCTATCTTCAAATAAAAGGTGTTAAAGGACACAAAGCACAATACATCAAAGAAAAAGTGTTGCCAGTTGACACTTAATAGAAAAAGAAATATTCAGTCGAAAAACGCAAGCAAAACTTAAAATAAATTTTGTATAGATACTCAAAATAAGTTTTGTCTTTTATTCTCTTATTCTTATTTATTAGTAAATTACTGTATAATATTAAAAAACAATCGAACATATATTTCCATCAGTGTTACTATCATTAATTAATCAATTAAATGTCAAGAAATAGTTTTTATTGTATTTGCATTATTACATTACATTATTTATGTAAGATTTATTTATTATACGAAAAGGGAACCGATGTCGTGGCCAGATATTAGAATAGATTAATTCACGACGCGATGGGGTTTTAAGTCCGCCTTCGTTTCAGAATAGAAGCTTTCGCCCGGCAGCCCGGGGAGGTCACGAGTAGCTAGTGGAATCGGGGCGGTGGGGTTTTAAGTCCGCCTCCGTTGCAGAATTTGAGTCTTTCGATTTTTTGTTATGTTTGTTTTATAGTCTGAAATCGCCTACAAAAAGTTAGTAAGTTCTATCTCCAAATGAAAGATGTTTAAGCACTATACATCAAATAAAAAGGTTGCCAGTTTACGCTTAATAGAAAAAGAAATATTCAGTCGAAAAACGCAAGAAAACGTTAAAATAAATTTTGTATAGATCGGCTTGTAGTCTTTTATTCTCTTATTCTTATTCAATAGTAAGTTAATATTTAGTTAATACAGACATTGGGGTTTTAAGTCCGCCTCTTGTTATGTTGGGTTTACAGTATAAAATTGCCTAGTAAAAATTAGTAAGTACTATCTTCAAATGAAAGTTGTTTAAGTACACATAGCACCATACACTCAATAGAAAATGAAATATTCAGTCGAAAAACGTTTGATAGGCTTGTAGTATTTTACACTCTTATTCTTATTTAATACTAAATTAATATTTAGTATTAACAACAACAGTCGAACATATATTTCCGCAAGTGTTACTATTATTGATCATTATTTATTGTTTTTGCATATACATATATTTAAAAACTTGGAAATAATACTAAACTTTGAGAAAAGGTGGTTACGATTATAGAAACTTTAACACAGAAATTAAGTTACAATATTAAAGAAGTTTGAATAAAAAAGGACATAATTTCTCATCAGTCTAAAAGTATAAGAAAAGTGTACTTTAAAAAGTAATTATCGTGTCAAAAATTGGAAAAATTGGGAAAAGAAATGATCCATATACACGCTATAAAGCTCCCGAATTGTCAAGTGAATCAAAATAAAATCTGAAATTAAAAGGGCCATAGCGTGGGCTGGATTGCTCATAGTCAGCCTTACACGATCATCTTTTAAACATTATAAATCAAATGTTCACCATCCACCGTACCATCAACAAAAGCGATTCGTTTCTGGCACTTCGCCGGCCGCTGCCGCGGCACGCTCGCTACGCTCGCTCGGCTCGTGCGTTGTTTTTCATACACTAACCTAACCTAACCCATATGACATAATAAACCTATACAAGTTTAGGTCCGCCTCTTGTTATGTTTACAGTTTGAAATTGCCTAGAAAAAGTTAGTAAGTTCTATCTTCAAATGAATTATGTTTAAGTACACAAAGCACCATACGTCAAAGAAAAAGGGTCTCCATTTATTATGGCTCGTTTCGCTCGCATTTTATTTTAGTCACAGTTCTTAACTTACCAATTAAACAAATCTCTCTTAATAGTTACTCTTTATGGCTCGCTTCGCTCGCTTTTTGTTTCATTCACAGTTCTAATTTAACTGATTGATTAGGTCTCTTTTAATAGTCTCGCATTATGGCTCGCTTCGCTCGTTTTTTATTTGGTCACAGTACCTTAACCCATTGACCAGGTCTCCAATTACTATGGCTCGCTTTGCTCGCTTTTTGTTTCATTCACAGTTCTAATTTAACTGATTGATCAGGTCTCTTTTAATAGTCTCGCATTATGGCTCGCTTCGCTCGCTCTTTATTTTGGTCACAGTTCTTTAACCAATTGACCAGGTCTCCATTTATTATGGCTCGCTTCGCTCGCTTTTTGTTTTATTGACATTTCTAATCTAACTGATTGACCAGGTCTCTATTGATGGTGTCCTTTATGGCTCGCTTCGCTCGCATTTTATTTTAGTCATAGTTCTAACCCTACCGATTAACCAAATCTCTCTTAACAGTTACTCTTTATGGCTCGCTTCGCTCGCTTTTTGTTTGAGTCACAGTGCTAACATAACCGATTGATCAGGTCTCTTTTAATGGTCTCGCATTATGGCTCGCTTCGCTCGCTCTTTATTTTGGTCACAGTCCCTTAAACGATTGACCAGATCTCCGTTAATTATAGCTCGCTTTTTGTTTTATTCACAGTTCTAATGTAACTGATTGATTAGATTTCTATTGGTGGTGTTCTTTATGGCTCGCTTCGCTCGCATTTTATTTTAGTCACAGTTCTTACCTTACCAATTAATCAAATTTCTCTAAATGGTCACTCTTTATGGCTCGCTCCGCTCGCTTTTTGTTTTAGTCACCGTTCTAATCTAGCCGAATTACAATGTCTCGCTCGCTTTATTTTTCTGGCGAAAATATTGCAATTTTTTCTCACCACGTAAAGATTGGGCAACGATACACAAACGGTTTATATATGCTTTAAAGCTCTCGAGTCGCCAGCTCGATTAGAATCATTCTGAAATTTATATGGTGACTACTATCAGCGCTGAATGCAATAGTGAAATTTTTGCATGAAAACTTTCATTAAGAATGATATACATGAAAATTTCCTAAAAATCTCGGTATCAAAAAGTTTACAGATTTTTTTTTCATTTGGCAACACTTCAGCAGAATACATATTTTTTGTCAAAAGTATTCTTAAAAATGTTACCAAAAACGCCAAAATCAGCTCTATAAAATGAAAGTCGTGAAAAATTATCAATTTTCTAGATAAAATGGTCGCTGTTTAAGCCGCCATCTTGAATTTTGAAATTTCAACCTAAGACCTATGTAGTCCACTTATTGGCGCATCCAATGCAGTTTTTGTTATTTTCCTAGCGGCGATAGTGACTGAGCTAGAGTCCAAAACGTGAACAGTGGGCATTAAATCTTCAAACAACCATAGCTGCCAGGGTTGCCAGGTGTAGGTGATAAAAATAGTCAAATGTCATTTCGGGATGCGCCCTCCATCGACGAATAGCAATTTTCAAGTTCTAAAAGTGTTCTTTTGACAGTTACAGTTTTTGGGCTAAATCTGAAAAACTACCCTAAAATAGGGTAATTTTTTTCCACCATGCAAAAGAGTCTATAGAGATGCACAATCGCTCCATACATGCCAAATACCTTCGGGGTTGCCAAGTCGGTCAAAATCGAGATTGAATTTCAAACGTTGTTTGCTCTCAGTGTTGCCAGTCGATCGTTCTATTTTTTCCATCGGGTATCTTGAAAAATTAAAATTAAAATATTTGCATATAAAATATCAAAAATTTTCGAGATTTTTTTTCACCAGGCAACACTATAGTTACTTGCCTAAAAAATGTTTCCCCGGAAGTACTCTGACAAATGTCGCCAAGTGCGTCAAAATCGGCTCGACGTGGTGACGATACCCAATTTTTCGGATAAAATGGCCGCTGGTTTTGCCGCCATCTTGAATTTTGAAAATCCGGCTCCGTACCGGTGTGGCCATCTCGATAACGCATCCGATGCAGTTTTTACCATTTTCTTAGTGGTAATACCGACTGCGCTAGAGTCGACAAAGTAAAAAATGGGCAAAATTTTTCAAATCGCCGCTCCTACCAGGGTTGCCAGGTGACGGCGATGAAAATGGCCAAATGTCATTTTGGGGAGTGCCCTCCGTCGAGGAAATTCATTTTTGAAATTCCCAAACGGCTCCTTCTACTTTTCACCTTTTTCTTCGCTCGCTTACTGTTTTAGTCACAGTGCTAACATAATTGTTTTGTTTTATTCACAGTTCTAATCTAAATGATTGATCAGATTTCTATTGATGGTGTTCTTTATGGCTCGCTTCGCTCGCATTTTATTTTAGTCACAGTTGCAACCTTACCAATTAATTAAATCTCTCGAAATGGTCACCCTTTATGGCTCGCTTCGCTCGCTTTTTGTTTTAGTCACAGTTCTAATCTTACCGAATGACAATGTCTCGCTCGCTTTATTTTGCTGGCTAAAATAGTGGAATTTTTTTCTCACCACGTAAAGATTGAGTAAAGATACACAAACGGTCTATATATGCAAAGCTTCCGAGTCGCCAGCTCAGTCAGAATCATTCTGAAATTAATATGGTGACTGCTATCAGTCTCGCTAGTCGATCACTCAAATTATTCCATCAATTATGTTATATATGCAACAGTAAAAATTTTGTTAAACAGTGAAATCATTGTAAAAAGATATTTAAATATTTTTCATAAAGACATACATGTAAATTTCCTAAAAACCCGGTATCAAAAAATGT